TTTAATTTGTATCAAGTGACGATCGCCCCTTAAGATCGGCTGGCAGTGTTGGTGGTAACTAACATATCAGGCCAAATTTTCTAGACTAATTAGTTAGCTACTTAGCTACGGCAAAATTCTTCCAAGACAAATGTTTCGATAAATAACATTAAAACACCATAGATATAATGGAAGGTCCTGAATACTTTACAACAGGTTTAACATCGGTTTGAGGAAAAGTGTTATTGCTCTCATCAATCATTTATTATTAATTTCAATAGCGAATGAAACGATATTGTTAATTGTATAAGTACAAAGGAAGGTAAAGAACTTCCATGGCTTGCTTTTATTTAATAGGTTACTGGGTTTCTGTTACGCACCGCACCTTCGAAACCTCTCCATAAAGCAAACTACAAAAGGATGCTGGAGTAAAGAGCGCTGTAATAAAATGTGCACAGGTCATTGAATTATATAAGGCGCTATATGTTGCCACACATTTCGGGTGCCCACTCAACAATACACTAGAACGAATGCATAGGGATTGATAAAAGTAATACAGTATTGTCGTCCGATTTAACAGAATTGAGCCCTTACAAATATTCCTCTATTCAATTCATAAAACAGTCTACTCAGAAATTTCATGGTTCGTATATGGCATACAATAGATATTACAAATGTAACAGGCAGAGGAATAACAAAAATCTTTTTGAGCACCTTCCTAATGTTCCTTTATTATTAATTATTAACACTATCCGTCGTTCCATAACCATATACCAATTGTTTGGATGTTTTCTTTTCTTTGAATTAATTTTTAAAAAATATTTCCCCCATGTACACTACTATGCTTCTACGCTACGCTTCCACCGTACTATTCTCGAAACCTACGCTGACGAAACTTCCGAGATGTCAGCCAATTATAAACCATTTACTGTAATTTAAACTTTCAAACTATGGTAATGACGTCCATCTCCTAATGCCATAGCTGTGGACCCCTGAAGACTTCTAAGAACATCTTCAATTATTGTGCAGTTTTAGAAATACAGAGGATTTCATAAACACATAACTAGCGTTATATGGTTAGTGTTATTATAAGACGGAGAAGGGACTTAAATAAATAAATAATCTTAAGTTTCCGATTATATAATACTTTCAATACAAAGCAGTATTAAAATTGGAGGATGAGGATTAATTTCAAGAAATCAAATAAATTAACTAAGCTCTACGTCAAAATATTATGCTTTGTGCATGAAGCATGTATAAATTAATAAATGAACGCCCCTCTTACAGGATTGCTGTATGTGGGAAGCTAAAGAAAAATTATATACAACAAGAAGACTTACTGAAAATCAAATAGCCTGCTATAAACTGCTTCCCCTTATCAAACCGGATCCTTTCGTGTTTCCATTTATGATTGAGTTTTAAAATACAAAAATGTAAAATATAAAAAATTAATTTTTTTTAGGGTTGCGCAATGAAATAGTGCATCAATCCATCAATGTAATGGTATTCCTGTAAATAATAAAGAAAATATTCCATTACAATACCCTTATGGAATATACGTACAAGACTGAAGGGACTTACTAACAGTAACAGTTACAACCAATAGCGAATCCAGGATTTAATTTTTTGTTTTTTTTTGGCGTTTATTACTTTAGAAGGAAAATATAACATATCAGAAGTGAAATCTAAATACAATAAAAAGAAATGTTATCCTCCTGCTTATTTTTTTCTTTTTTTTCTTTGCGTTCACATATTTATTACAGCTCAAATAAAAAAAACAATAATTAAACAGGAGAACATCTCTTTTTATTTAATTTATATAAATTAAGATTTAAGTGAAGGTTCTGCCAAAAATAAAAAAATACTGTGTTTACAGGAAAAATAATGCTTTTACCGATACATTTTTACTTTCACTCACCTATATATGCAATATATAGTAAGTGTAAGTATTGCGATCGTGAAAATTTTTGAATCTGAGTTTTCAACGGTAATACACGTTTTGAGGTCCCCTGAGTCCAAATAACCAAGTCCCGAAAAATGGTCTTTGTGTGTCTATGTTAGCAGCCTAGCTCAAAAACGAAAAGTCGTTAGAAACTGATATTACGTATTTAAGATAGGTATATGCTTTAGATGTGACAACTTTTTCCTTAAAATTGGCTAACCGGAAATGCCACTTTATATTAACGCTGAAATACATTTTTCGTCTTTAATATCATTTAGGTCTTATCCGCGTTGATGTCACTTTGCTCTATATCTAATATAGAAAGTTGTAGAAGGTAATGGAGAATGTCAACAAATTATAAATAATACTTTTTGAAAACTAATAATATTTAACGTAAATCACAATTTTTTAAGGAAATTAAATGAAATTTACTAACTAAATAATTTCTACTCAAAGTACAGCGGTAGGTAAAAGTTGAGTGTTGCGCGCACCAGATTTTTGCATTCAGTATTGGATGTGCTAACATTTAGCTTCTGAAATATACATGTTATCATTTAAAAAGAGTACATGTTTTATTTTTTTCTATTAGACTACCCCGTAATTTCTGGCCTACGTGTTGTTTTTTTAGGTACAACCTAATCTGTTCTTACCAAAGTGAGGAAGTCGTCATTGATTCCATGGGTTTGTGCGAAGTATTTTGCTCAGATTACTCAAACAAGTAAGTACGTACCAGTGGAAAAAAAAATATTTTGGGGAGGAAGGAGCATCAGCCTGAAAGTTCGCTCCACGGATCCACGGAGGGAATCCGACAATTGTTACGAAACATGCTAGAAAAAAATTAACTTTCAATAAACCAAAAAGCTCTAAATTGTAATTACCCCTCATGTTTAGACTTTCAACATTAAAATGTGAGACTCAACTAAGCCCAATTAAATTCTTCCCGTGGCCGATATTTTACCTGAAGTACCCCTCTCCCTTACCTTGCCTCCTCTATTACAACTCTCAAAAATCCTCCGAGACCTGTGAAAAAGGAATGGGCCATTAGTTTTGAATATATTAAATATCTTATTAGAGTACAGCCGATAACTTCTCCTTATGTAAAAATCATGTATTTACTTAAGTTATCATATCCATTGTCACAGATTTCAATAAATAAATAATTCCCGTGGCCTCCCAAGCGCTATCGCTCATTGAGACCTTCAAATCTCCGACAAACCTCCGACAACCTCTGATCCGGGTGATTTTACACATTATCTACCGAGAGCAGGATATCGAACACTACCTGGAGTGGAAAAGGATCCGCTGAGGGCCGTCACACTTCATACCTCTAGGACACGCCAGTTTCACCTACTAGCTTCCTAATAGATTCTCGTGATATCCGAATTTCAGGCTCTCCAGTAGAGAAGTATTCACTTTACCACTTCAGGCTCCAGTTAACAACTAAAGATTTCGAGATGTAAACTGGACTGCTGTTGCTGAAATCTTCTGCACAGCAAGACATCCGAAAACAAGTTGCCGAAAAGATAAATATTAATACTGAAGGGGCGTTGGGGTTTTCTTCTATAGTTGCAGGACAAGCCTGGCTTAAGGTTTCCTGCCTGCTTGTATATAGGTATGACTGTGTGTTTATGTTTTTAATTTACTTATCTTAAGGTTATTTTATTTTTTAATGTACATAGTTTTTGATTATTATTTAGTTATTCTTTTACTTTTGTTAATTTTATGTTTTCTGTATATATGGTGTGAATGACAGATTATTATTTTTCTAAATAAAGAAATAAAAAAATTAAAACCTCTAAACAATGAAAAATATATGAATGCTATAATATAGTATATAACATTTTTTTTTATTAAACGCCTCTGCCGTTGGCTATTAGGCCATGAATCCTTTTCCATACATTTAACTCTAAAGCCATTCTCTTCCATCTTCTGTTTAATTGAAAAGGTTACCTTGAGGAATGATTTAGCAGCGACAATTATTCCTGATGCAACCTGCCTGGATCTCTGCAGTTTATAAGTTTGATATCCCGGTAATTGGTAGAACTGGATATTTTCAGTGGATGAGCCGGCTTCTACGATCCCATATAAATCAGCATCCTCCTTTGTAATAATCGTCTTCCATTCTGTGAATTTGTCAGCAGTTAGGCCACCAGCGTTCCTGAACATAGCCTTAAGCTGTGTGTTGACTGGCCCTTTTGGTTTCCTAAATTTTGATGGATTCATATTTTTGTGGATTCTATGATGTTGAACTGTCTTCGCGGCGACAATATTGCTCATTTAGTTATAACCGTTATTTATCCATTTATACATTTAGTTACCCAATTTTTATTAAAGCTTTTTAGTTTAAAGCTTTAACAGCTGTTATATATATAATGTATATAATACGAATGCTATAATAGTAGGCATGATAAGGCCAAAAATGAGATTGATAGATCCAATCATGCAATCAATCAGATGAGGAAGCAATAGAGCTGTTTGCAGATTACTGGAAAGAAATAGCACAAGATAGTTAGCGATGGAGACGGCTGGCAAGGCTGCAAAAGGTCTACAAGCTCTGTTATGCCAATAGAAAAATAAAATATGTTCTTGTGTTTGTAGTTTTCTCACGAGAAAATAATATCAGATAGCAGAATATTAAAAATCGAATTAAAGACCATTTTGAATAGAAAAATAAAATCGAAGTACAATGAGATTGTAGTTAATAGCTCTCAAGGATACCTGAATGTCTTACATCATAAAAAATTTAAATTCATTGCACGGTGGCTCACTTGCCAATCATCCGACTTCCGTTTTGCATGCCAAACGTTCTAATCTCTTGCATTCTTAAATTTTATAATCATAAAATATGTCATATTTTTTTTAGAACATTTTCATCTGGGACTATCTGAGCTAAATAAAATATAGTAACCATTCTAGAAAACAAAAATACCAACATCTCATTACATTTAGATATTTTAGAGCTTCCTCAAATATGTGAAATTAATTTCATTATTAATATATATATATATATATATATACACATATATATATATATATTTCGTAACATTGTATTATTGTTATTTTTATTAACTGAATAATAAAACATATGCGGTAGGTTTCATAAATATGCTCTGAGCGTCATTTGAACACGAAATATAGTGAGTGACCACTGATACAGGCAGACAATGAATTATACCATTGTGATTCTTGGCGGGCATATCCTGTGAGTCTTTAAATTCATTTCAAAACAAAACTATTATTAAAGTTAGGTTTTGTCATTTTATCCGTGGCATTAGAACACAACGGAATAATCTCAGACAAAAGAACGCTAACTAGGTTTTATTGGAGGTCTATGTGACGGATATTTCCTGATTGTCAACTCGCTTCCTACCTTTATAACTGAGCACGATGAATTAGGCCGAGCATTAGAGACGAGAAATGTCATATGTGGTCTACCTCCTGCTTTTATCGATCTTTTTCTCTGCTCAGGTAAATGCATTATTATAATTTTTTAATATAAATTATTAATATTAGTGTATCGAAGCGAGAACCCTCTAGTTAACTAATCTTATCCTAATCGCATTCGACGTTTAAGCAATATTAGCGAAACGCGAAACGTTAAAAATAAATATCTCTCCAGATAAGACAGCTGTCCCTATACTTATACAAATCCATTCCTGTACGCACTCAAGACATATTTGTTTGGTGCTGAGATTCCTTGGTCTTTAGGTCCCTCATTAAGAGTACTACTATTACTTATCGACGAAAAAAATTTTTTTTAGAAAAATGAAAATGACATCCAATATGGATATTTAGTGGAGGACTCAAGCAAAACTTTAAAATGGCACTAGTGTTGGCTGAAACGTAGTCTAGATAAAATTTATTTAAAAAACCGTGAAACATGCCTATTTCATTAAAATAAAGTGGCGTAAATAGGACCCATGCTACGAATTGGAGCGTAGACCCCGTGGGGGCCAAGCAGAATGCGTACATGGACATAGTGGACAAACATCAAGTACATGTATTTTTTTTTAATAATTATTTATGGTAAACAGAAGTATGGTCTGTTTGATACGTTTAGGAGCGATTCTGAAAAAAATTTATGGGTAAGGATAAAATGGGTCCAACAATTAGAGGGGCCCTCCAGACTTGCTGGAGGGAGGGGACCTCCAGACTTGCTGGAGGTAGGGGCCCACCAGACTTGCTGGAGGGTGTGACGTAGGATTGAACGCCCTACTCACATATCTTTAGTTCACCAAACACCACAAAAAGTCATGGATCTCCCTAAGGTAAAACGCTCATTATCCGGAAGTAAACTAGTCCCCCGTTCGGGTCTCCGGGTGGGGACTGCTTTAGGGGATTCATGGCGCAAGTTGAAATATAGGGATTTAAATATTGGTACGTGGAACGTAAGGAGTTTAAACACAGCAGGGGGCTAAAATCGGTCGCGAATGAGGTAAATGGTACAATTTGGATGTCGTGGCTCTGCAAGAGGTTCGCTGGCCAGGGGAGGGCTCGATGAGGGAAGGGAAGTACACTATTTGGTAGGAGGAAGCGGGAATCATTGTTTAGGTACCGGGTTTCTAATTAGGCGTAGATTACTATCCGCTTTGAGGACGTACAATTCTTTAGTGATAGAATTTCGGTAGCTACATTTCAGGGACGTTGGTCTAAAATCGCATTAATAAACATACATTGTCCGACCGAAGACAGTGACGATGAAGTCAAAAGTGAATTTTACGATAAACTCGAATGGGTTTATGATAAACTACCACGAAACTACATGAAAATAATTGTAGGTGACGCGAACGCAAAGGTAGGAAGGGAAGAAGTTTATATTCCGACGATTGGTAAAGAAAGTTTGCACGAATATAGTAATGATAATGGGATCCGTCTAATAAACTTTGCCATCTCGAAAAACCTGATAATTAAAAGTACGACGTTTAAACACAAGGATATTCATAAATATACTTGGACATCACCGGATTCGCAAACACGAAATCAAATCGATCATGTCTTGATACAACATAGCTGGCAAAGCAGTATAATTAATGTGCGGTCTTATCGCGGAGCAGAATGTGGGTCGGATCATGAATTAGTAATCGCGAAACTTCGACAAAAACTTAATATAAAAAAGAGAAAAGAAAACCGTTTCGATTTTGAGAATTTTAATTTGGAAAAATTAAAAAACCCATCAATTAGAAACCAATTCGAGCTAGATGTTAAGAATAGGTTTGAAGCTTTAGAGCCTCCTGACGAGGACCACGAGGATATTGACAAGTTATGGATAGAGATCAGGGATAATATTAAAGCGGTCGGTAACTCGTGTCTAGGAAAAAAGGAAAATAAGAATAACAAACCGTGGTTTGATGAAGATTGCTTAACCATGTGTGAAAAAAGAAAAGCCGCTAAATTAAAAGCCCTAAATAATCCTAGCGAAGACAATCTGGAATACTTCCGAATCTCAAAGAACGAAACGACAAAATTGCTCAAAAATAAAAAAAGGGAGTATCTTAAAAATAAAATAATTGAAATAGAAACTAATAGAATCGAAAATAACGTAAGAGACATGTACAAAGGTATAAACAGATCACGTAAATATGTAGGGCCCGTAACGTCTGGAATTAGGGATGATAATAACAATATTCTGACCGATCCGGTTGACATATTGAATAAGTTTAAGGACCACTTTGACAATATTTTAAATACGGGAGATTATGATCTGTGTCCTCCTTCTGAGTACCAGAGTGCTGAACCGTTAATAGAAGGACCAAGTAAAGAGGAAGTTGAAGTAGCTATCGGAAAATTAAAATCATATAAAGCAGCGGGAATCGATAATATTCCTACTGAACTAATTAAGGCATGCGGGGAAGCTGGAGTTTCTAAAATACATCGGTTGGTTAAAAAGATCTGGGTGAACGAGAAATTACCTGAAGAATGGAAAGAATCTATTCTTATTCCGATTCACAAAAAGGGTCCGAGGACGGATTGTAATAACTATCGAGGAATTTCACTCCTTCCGGTATGTTATAAAATATTCACTTCAATCTTAACCAGTCGAATTACGGAATACGCCGAGGAAATTATCGGAGACTACCAATGCGGATTTAGACGGAATCGTTCGACAATTGATCAAATATTTTCTTTACGGCAAATATTAGAGAAAAAATTGGAGTATAACGGTATTGTTCACCAGCTGTATATAGATTTTAAAAAGGCTTACGATTCTATTGACCGCCAGAAACTGTATAATATTCTAATCGAGCAGGGGATTCCAAAAAAACTAGTAAATCTAGTCAGGATGTGCTTGACGGAGACACTCAATAAAGTTAGAATCGGTAATAATTTGTCCGAAAAATTTGAGGTTCGTTCGGGCTTAAAACAGGGGGATTCTCTTTCGCCTGTCCTGTTCAATTTGGCATTAGAACATGCCATTAGGGAGGTAATGCGAACCGAGAAAGGGTTGGATCTGGGCGGGACAACATCCGTGCTGGGCTATGCTGATGATCTGGTACTGTTAAGCGAAGACGTTGAAACTATAAAACTAAATACGACAACGTTAATGAAAGCCGGTAAAGAACTAGGACTCGAAATAAACGTGGATAAAACAAAATATATGGTTAGCTGCAAAAATGGCGATACTACTGGTGATGTCGATATAGATGGTAATATGTTTGAACAGGTAGATAAATTTAGGTATCTAGGTTCTACGATAACTAGAAAAAACGAAATTGAAGAAGAGATTAAGGTTAGACTGAAGGCGGGGAATGCTTGTTATTTTTCTGTGACAAAACTACTTAGTTCGCGCCTCTTGTCCCGTGACTTAAAAATTAGAATCTATAAAACAATTATCTTGCCTACAGTTCTTTATGGATGCGAAACTTGGCCGCTTACATTAAGGGATGAGCAGCGTCTTAAGGTTTTTGAAAATAAAGTATTGCGTAGAATATTCGGACCGAAGAAGGATGAGTTAACCGGAGAGTTCAGACGGTTACACAACGCTGAATTGCGTGAGCTGTATCCGGGTAATATAATTGAGGTAATTTCATCGCGGCGAATCAAATGGGCTTGTAAAGTTGTTGGGCTTAGTAACGAGAGAATTCCTAAAAGGTTAATATTTGCTGTGCCGAATGGTAAGCGTCCGAGGGGTAGACCGAAGCGAAGGTGGGAAGATTGCATTAAAGCCGATCTGAAGGGACTGGGTTTGGACGGCGAACGGTGGAGGGAGGTGTGTAACAAGCGATTGGTGGTGTCGGCATCGAACCTTCGGGTTCGCTAAGCCTTATTATTATTATTATTATTATTATTAAGGATAAAATGGGTTATTTTTCTGAAGGGGAGAGAGACGCACGTGAAAAAGGCTTCCATTGGGACACAGTCAATTTAATCATTTCCATATTTACCAACAAAAAAAAAATTAATAATAATAGTGTGTTATATTTCGATTACAAAATAAATTACATTAATAATAAATAAATAAATTACATGCCTTACCACAGACTAAGATAAAAAAATGTTTATGATTTTACAGAATAACTTACACACATTCAGCAATGGGCTATTTGCTAGTCTGTCCGGTTGGCCACTTTTACATTTTATTAAAAATCATACCATGTAGTATTACAAGATTTGCTTCTCATAACTTAAGACCAACATTATACCTGCATATAAATATTAAATAAATTCCAAGATGAGTATACATACACGTAGTTTCTATTTCCTAAATACCAAATCCATATAAAATTCGAATACATACGATACAACAACAATACAGCAATATAAATAATAATAAATCGCAATATATAAACAATAATTATAATTAATAATTATATTACTATAAATTGTAATAAAAATCCAATATTTCATAAATACTTACATAAACGTAAGTTCTGTTTATAAATACACACATATTAATAGTTGAATTCGTTTACCATTTGTTTTCTATATTTGAATGCAGTAATTGAGTATTTATATAAGCTGTCCCAGTCCTTTCCGTTAAGAGAATCCATTACTTCAGTGCTTTTAAAAGAACATCACTTATTATTTTTTTTTTTTTTTTGTAAATAACACCCATAAAAAGTGTAAAACAGGATAATTATCTGACGTAGTTAAAGAACATAAATTAGAATCACGTAAGATTTATTAAATTTTTTTTTTACTCATGGATGTCAATTTTAGTCCATTACTATATTAGGAGGCTCAGAGACATGAACTTTGATTTTCTTCTATACTCAAGCATTAAATTCTGCACGAAGCTAAAGTATATTTCGTTCCGAACATAAAAATACTTCTTAGGTGATCTACTCATTCGTTATCGTATTGGGTCATCACTATATTTATCGTTTATCTAATATAGTTTTATTGCATCTGTTCAAAATCGATTATTCAATTATCTTCAGTAAGCCGAGGTGGAAGATCAAGGCTGCCCTGCGGTAATGAACTTGAGTTCCAGGCGTTGGATGCTTATTTTATCCAGCCGCCTACGTTTC